CAATTTCATTCTTTCCTGAGCTTGCCTCAGATTTTCTTTAAGACCAGCTAACACTGCATCTCTAGTAGTCAACCATTCCAGATCCCCTTCTTCAGGATACACCCTGGCAGCCAACAGTGGGGGTGGATAGCCATACAAAGCCTGAAATGGAGTGCATTTTAGGGATGAATGGTAGTTTGTGTTGTACCACCATTCTGCTAGGTGAAGCCACTTAGCCCAACTCTTAGGGCTTTGAAAAACCATACACCTCAAGTAACTTTCCATACACTGATTCACCTTTTCAGTTTGCCCATCTGTTTGTGGGTGATAAGTAGTAGATAGATTCAACTTCACTTGCATCTTCTTGAACAGGGCCTGCCAGAACTTACTAGTAAAAATCTTGTCTCGATCAGACACAATGCTCCTTGGAAGGCCATGCAGTTTGTATACATGTTCCATAAATAGCTCAGCTACCCCCTCAGCAGTATAGGGGTGAACAAGACCAATGAAGTGAGCATATTTAGTCAGCCTATCAACAATTACCAGGATGACTTCCTTGTGGTGAGATTTAGGCAGACCCTCCACAAAATTCATGGATATGCTCTGCCATGCTTCTTCAGGTATGCTTAGAGGTTGCAAAAGCCCAGGGCTTGCCACATGTTCATTCTTACACCTTTGACAAATATCACAGTGCCTAACAAACTCCTTAACATCTTTCTTTAACCCTTTCCAGTAGAACAAGGGTTTCAGTCTTTGATAAGTAGCATTTTGCCCTGAGTGCCCTCCAATAGAGGAGTTATGCAGCTGTTCTATTAGTTCTCTTCTGAGGTTCCCTGTAGTACCCACATACAACCTGCCTTTGTACCTCACAAGACCCCCAGATACAGAGACTTTCCCATTAGCAGTAGGGGATATCAATGCAGCAATCAAATTCTCAGAGGCCCATTCATCATTCTCATAGCTTCTGATGATTTCCTCCACCCATTGTGGCTGTAAGGCAGAAATGGCATGTAGGGTGGGTTCAACCCCTTCCTCTCTTCTGGATAGAGCATCAGCAACAACATTCTCTCTACCCCTTTTGTACTGGATTGAGTAGTCTAGTCCAAGCAACTTTGTAAGGACCTTCTGTTGTAGTGCAGTAGTAATTTTTTGTTCTAGGAGAAATTGTAAGCTATGGTGATCTGTTTTAATGGTGAAATGCCTCCCCAAGAGATAAGACCTCCATTTATCCACTGCATTGATAATGGATAAGTATTCCTTTTCATATATGGAAAGCCCTAAATGCTTTGCTCCAAAAGCCTTGCTATAAAAAGCCACAGGCATGCCCTCCTGAACCAGTACTGCCCCCATACCCTTGTAGCTTGCATCAGCCTCCACACTGAATTCTTTTTGGAAATCAGGCAAAATTAGCACAGGAGAGTGACAAAGGGCTTTTTTAAGGTTTTCAAAAGCCATTTCAGCCTCCTCAGACCATCTAAACCCATCCTTTTTTTAACATATCTGTTAGTGGCTTGCTGATGATCCCATATCCTTGGATAAACCTTCTGTAATACCCAGTCAACCCCAAAAATCCTCTCAAAGCCTTCACAGTATGAGGTTTAGGCCAGGCTGCCACAGCTTGCAGCTTAGAGGGGTCTGTGTGCAACCTAGTTTTGGATATAATGTGACAAAGATATTCCACTTGGTCTTGTGCAAATGAGCACTTGCTGAGCTTAGCTAGTAATTGGTGTTGCCTCATGATGGTTAGAACTTCCCTCAGATGTTTCCAGTGGTCTTTCAGGCAGGAGCTATAAATCAGTATATCATCAAAGAATACTAATACTGATTTTCTGAGCAATGGCCTAAATACTTGGTTCATTAATGCTTGAAATGTAGCAGGTGCATTAGTGAGACCAAAGGGCATTACCTTGAATTCATATAGGCCTTGATGAGTCCTAAATGCTGTTTTGAACTCCTCTCCTTCCTTCATCCTTACTTGGTGATATCCAGATCTCAAATCCAGCTTAGAAAAACATGTTGCTCCTGCTAGCTTTGAAAACAGATCTTCCACTAAGGGTATGGGAAATTTATTTTTGACAGTGATGTTGTTAAGTGCCCTATAATCCACACAAAACCTCCATGTGTTGTCCTTCTTTGGCACTAAGAGAACTGGGGAAGCAAAACATGATGAGCTAGGGGTGATTATGCCAGCTGAAAGCATTTCCTCCACCATTTTCTCAATGGTGTTCTTTTGATCAAATGAATACCTGTAAGGCCCAATGTTAACTGGTTTAGAGTTGGGAAGTAATGGAATGGTGTGGTCTAAGCTTCTGTTTGGGGGTAAGGTAGTGGGTTCTTGGAACAAATCTCTGAATTCATTGAGCAGCTGGGCCAGTTCTGGAGTCATGTTTTGGTCAGTGATGCTGCTAAGGCAAGGTTCACTGTCTCCCACATTAGGGTCCATTGACAAGCATTGCACCAATAGCCCTTGCACCCCCTCCTTGTGCCACTTCTTCATTTCCCTTTCAGATGCTTATTTCAACACAACTCTTCTGCTAAGCCCTTTCAGAAATATCTTTTTCCCTTCCTTGTGAAAAGAGATCCCTGGAGGCCTTGTGTGCAGCTGAATGGGAGCAAACTGATCAATCCAATCCATCCCCAATACCATATCACAACCTCCCATCCTTAAGAGCCTAAAACTCTTAATAAATTCCTCCTGCTGAATCTACCAGCTAAGCTCCTTGCACACTGAATTACAGATTACCTTCTCACCATTGGCCACAGTGACTACTAGAGGGTTGGCTTGCTCAGGTTCCCTTCTCAATTGGTGTAGCAGCTGAGGATCAAGGAAACTGTGAGTACTGCCACTATCCACAAGGATCACTACAGGCTGCCTCTGAATCATGCCCAATAGTTTGATGGTATTATGTAACACCCCAGATTTTTAAGACTTTTTAAACTTATAGTAAAGGTAGAATCTCATTAAATCCCAAGAAATAAATACAAGTGTATGGGGTGCTATGCCACACCTGGGCTAGAGAACCCAAGTGCACAGGCTAACTAACTAATATCCTCAAAGCGTAATTACGTAACCGTGGCACGCAGGCCAAAAAGGAAAACTATCTACTTCTATATTCCAAGTTCTAGCGCGCTCCAGTGACTTAATCTTCGGTGCCTGAAAGCCAAATATATCTGTTCAGCGAGAGATGCTGGTAACCCACTCCAACGCGTTGAAATACAATACATATAGAGATATATATAGATATATGAAAACCATTTTGAACATGAAGATATATCCTACGAACTCTAGCTTTTAAAACCGGGAATGACTCGACAGATAAGGCCAGACACGAGCAACAGTTATAACAAACATATGCAGTTCACGACAGATAAGGCAGGTAAGGCAAAGCATAAACAATAGTCACAACCCAACATAATCAATCCCCAACATAAATCCCATAGTCACATCCCCCAAGACACTCATGATCACCACTCATCCATATCACAACACATAGCACACTTTGTTGGCGCCACAGGACCAATCGCATGCCCATACATGAGGGTCAGCGCATATAGCTCTGACACGGCCCCGCAGCACCCTGCCCCGTATCGCAACACGGAGGGGTCGATCGCAACCGACCGATGAACCGCAGCTCATCATAGTGTTTGATCGCAACCAAACAGTGGACCGCAGCCCAAGAGAATGTCATCTGACTGTAGCCAGGAAAAAGGACGAACCGCAGCTCGTATAGAAACGTTTGATCGCAACCAAACGGTGGACCGCAGCCCAAGAGTATCAATCTGACCGCAGCCAGCTTCTAAACCGCAGCTCAGGATAACCAATCCGATCGCAACCAAATTGGGGTAACACACACATAACACATAGCAAGCACATGCAACCCACATTACACATTAGGAAGGGGGAAGAAACGTATAACAAAACCTATGCGTGATCCATCACTTACTAAGAATAGTCCTAAGGGGTTCATACTTCTTCCACCTAGGTCAACGGGATACCAATTCAACTAGCATGCAGTATAATAGACTCATAAACCTACGAACGGTACCCGAAACATCAAACTAGACATAGGCACGATAAACAGAGTCCGTTGGGACACCACGGGGAACGGGGAACATCAAACGGGGAAGCCGGGATCCCAAGTTGGGGGAATTTCCAGCGGGTAGCCGGTGGGTGGGGGCCACCCGCCGGACTCACTGTTCCGGGCAGCGGGTCGCCGGCGGGCAGCTGCCCACCCGCCGGCTGCCCGCTGCCGGTTATACTATTTCCGGCCATGGGTAGGTGGCGGGTCCCCACCCCCCCCACCTACCCCCCACTGACTCTTATCACATAATTTCGCCCCGGGAACCGTTGTGGAACCCGAAACCATGCTTAGACACTTTACTACGCAATTAACGACAACACGTAGACAATTAACGGATCAAATACGAGAAACGAACGGCACATAACCTATCATGCTCTTCTAAACATAATCAACACCCAAACATGCGATTTCCCCACCCGATAAACCAAGAATAATATCATACGATACAACCTAGGGTTCTAATCACTTTTATATCAACAAGAATACGGTTCGTCTTCTAATTGCAAGATTCGGTAAGAATAACACATAAACATCAAGAGCATCACATAATTATCAAGAACAACACATAATCATCAAGAACTCCATATAATTACCAAGAACACCATAATTATCAAGAATTTCCCAATATCAAGATTATCAAGATTCCTCATGGAATCATTATATCAATCATTAATAATAATCATCACCAATCATTAATACACAATAATATGGGGAAACCCTAAGGGGGAATCATAACTATGAAAATAGGTTTTGTTGAGACATGGGTTACCTCTTAGCCTTAATTAATTCCTTGGCTATGAAGGATCTTTCTTTAAGCTTCCTTGCTTTCTTGATTTCTCCTAAGGGGATTCTTGGAGCTCTTTTGGGGTGGTGGGGCGTTAGACTTGTGGGAGGAGTTCTATGTGCTTCCTAAGTTCCCTATTTATAGATCTAGGGATCTTATTTAGGGTCTAATCCTATTGGGATTAGGGGTTGGGTTTATATAGGAGGGCCCATGGGCTACGGTGGGCCTTTTTCCCTAATTAATCATTATAATTTATTCTTTCTCTTGGGCTATTATTTAATTAATTAATTGGTTTTAGGACTCGTAACACGGGGTGTTACATATTCAACCCTTCTCTTCCTACCACAGCACAGAGAGACACTTCTGCCCCTTGTCCCTCATCTGGTCCTTCATTCTCAGGAACATCATCTTCCTCCCCTTCTATAATGTTAAATGTAGGGCTCTTACATCTATGCCCTGGTTGCCAGGTATCAAAACACCTAAAGCATCTTTTCTGTTCTTTTAACTGATTTCTGAATTGGTTCACTTCTGGGCTTCTAGATGCAGTGGATTGGGTGGAGAGTGTGGGTTTAGTGTTTAGGTTGGTGGGTGAGGGGTGGTTAGACTGGCTATTTTGGTTTCTGTTAGGGTGAGTGGCTTTTGCATTCCAGGATGATGTTTTCAAGTTATCAGTAGTCCTTAGGCCCTTCTCATACTGCCTAGCAAGCCAAATGGCATCCTCCAATCTTCTAGGTCTGGATGTTCTTACAAAGCATCTTAAATTTTGTTTTAGCCTGGCAATGTAGTTTTCCATGAAATAGGCCTCAGTTAAATAAGGATGGGTCTGAACAAGCAGGCTCTTGAATTCCTCATACTCATCAGTGAACTCATCTACACTCCCATTCTGTTTGAGGGCTGCAAAATCTTCCATGAGGGAGATTCCACTGTCCCCAAATCTCTTGCACACTGCCTCTACAAAGTAAGGCCAGAGAAATTCCCCCCTCAAGCTATGCATGTAGCTATCAAACCACAGACCTACCCTCCATGTCAAGTGTATGTATAATAGATTTGGGACCTCAGCTCTGGGAATGTGGGATAGTATAAAAAACTTCTCACATCTAATGATCCATTGTCTAGGGTGAGAGTAGTCAAACACAGGGAATTCACTCTTGTACCTCATGAAGAACTCTTGGTTCTGGGCAGGTGGTGCTGGCCTTCCTTCCAGAACCCTTCTCACTGGGTGAGGTTGTCTGTCCATGGGTGCCTCAGGTACAGGAGGTTCCTCTTCCAGTCCCACCTCATCTTCTCCTTCCTGGACTGGGGCTTTGTCAGGTCTTCCTCCCAACCCAGCACTTGGTTCTCCTGGGTATTGGCCTTGTACTGATGATTGGCCAGGGGAGTGAGCAAACACTGGAGGTACTGGTCTGTTCAGTCGAATGAGTTGCATCAGTTCTTCCTTTAATCCGCCAAACTGAGAAGCCAAATTATTCAGCTCAGTGGTAAGGGTTCCCACCTGAGTGGCCAGGATGTCCACAGAATCCTGTGAAGCTTGGAAGCTGGTATCTATCCTGCTGTTTGCCTCCATGACTGAAGCTTCGAGCTTCCTGATTCTTTCGTCCATGGTGAGCTCTGATACCACTTGCAACACTCCTTAGAGTTCAACAGAAAAAGAAGAGCAGAGATTGAGAGAATTTAGGGAGAGAAGAGAGAAGAATTTAGAGAAAGCAAAAATGATGGTTGTTATTCAGCATAAAAAACCCTTCTACAATCATCTACTCAATTTAAACAAGCCAAAAGGAAACAGCTAAGCAATCCACTCTCCAAGTATTCCGGATCGCAAAACTAACAAAACGATTTTGACAGCAGTGGTAAAACGACGTCGTCTGATTGCCTTTCCAACTTATTCCAACGACTCCGCAAACGACGTCGTCTGATGCCCTTTTAAAACGATTTAACCTTCCACTTATCCAACGACGCTGTTTTGGTCTTCTTCTTCAATTACTTCCATTGATACTGCCATTTTTCCTCCCTCCTTCCTCATTCTAACTTTCCTCCTTCTTTTCCCACTGGATGAATTATTGATGTCAGTGTCTAGGGCCGTTACAGGATCGAGCTTGATTTGTTGTTGACAACAATTTTGATCTTGGTTTTCTTAATTTTTTCATTTCTAATTTGTGTTTTTAGGTTCCAAGATGCTTTAAGGAGTCATCAAGCGAATGCGATCTACAATCCTTATATCAATGGCAGAGCTTCAAGTATGATTAGACATGGCTTAAATGGGTCGGCGACTGAGAGGACTTTTGGGGTAAATATTTATGAATCGCACGATAATAACAACGTTAATAGTAATCATAGTCATAATCCTCTCAGCTCTGATTATTTCCGGACGGCGGCGGTGATTTCACGGCAATCTGCGGCGTGCAAAAAACATGGAGAATGAGAAGCTCTAGCAGGCTCACTTCTCCCCAGCTCAAAGTGTTTTGGCTTCTCATCAATTTGGAAGTTCTTTGGCAAAACAGATTCTCCAAAAGAAATTGCAGTTAGACAGAGGGAGAGATCCTCCGGCGATGACACTTGCATTTCTTATGTGCATGATGTCGGAGTTAATTAGTTGAAGATATGCGAGCTTCATCTTCCCAAAGACAAGTTAATATATTTTCTGTTGAAAGCAGTTCTTTGGTTACTGCACCTGGTGCAACTTGCATTTCTTTATGTTGAAGGAAAATACGAGAAAACAGTGGTGGAGCCAGGATTTACGTTGAGTGGGGGCGAAAACGCAAAAGTAAAAAATGAATTAAAAAATGTTCAAATGCGAATAAATTTGTTAAACAACAATATGCTAACTAACATTAAATAATTATTCCAAATAAATAAACAACTATATCAACTAACATTAACGATTTTTTAGCAAATGTATTCGTCCTTAGTAATTAACATAACTATTAAACAACTACATCATTACAAATGGAAGGTAACTAAAAAAACAATTCTAGGATTCAAACTGCTCACCTTTCACTCAAATTATAAGGTCAAATAATGGCCTAACCATCTCAACCAAGCCTAACTTTGTTTAATTGTTGGTATGTTTAATATATATTCAGTTTATATGGAGTAGGGCAGTGGGGGCAGCAGCCCCCACTGTCCCCATTGTGGCTCCGCCACTGCGAGAAACGTATGTTGCACATGCGTCTCTCATATTTCACGCAAAAAAAGAAAAAGAAAAAAAAAAGATTATCATAAATTTAAGAAATTCTTTTGGACTTCGTTTGCGTAGTGGTTTGCACATAATCTTAAAGCCTTGGAAGAGGAACAAAGAGGTCTGCTGGCCTGACTACTACATGTTGGTCTATCTAGATGGCTAGGAACGATAAAGTCCGGAACAACATCACCATCTCCTCCAATATCATATATAGTGGAAAAGACAAAAGCCAACCTCAGAAGCTGGAATGAAGCAAACCTACCACCCATTCTAGTTATATAGATGAGAACTAATAGAATTGTATTGAATGAGATAATTACAATATTACAGATTACAGGTATATATAACAAGAGAGTCTTAGGGAGACTGGGATTGAGAGTCATAATCTAACTCAAATACATAGAAAATCTAAGAACATGTAGAGCTTTAGTAAAGATATCTGCCAATTGATCATTAGTTGAAATCAAATTATCCTCTATATCTTCATTCGCAACTGTGTCTAGTTGAAATAAAATTAACCTCTATATCTCCATTCGCAACTTTGTTTCTAACAAAGTGATAATCAATTTCTACATGCTTAGTACGAGCATGAAAAATAGGATTGGCACACATGTATGTAGCACCAAGATTATCACACCATAGTCTGGGAGTAGACACACTAGTCACACCAATTTCACGCAGTAGAGAGAGAATCCAAATTACCTCAGCACAGACATCTACTAAAGCTTTATATTCAGCCTCAGCACAGACATCTACTAAAGCTTTATATTCAGCCTCAGTACATGATCTAGCAACAGTTCTTTGCTTCTTACACACCCATGATATAAGGTTGGAACCAAGAAAAACAACATACCCACTAGTTGACTTACGATCCTCAGGACAGCCAGCCCAATCAAAATATGAAAAAGCATGTAATTCTCTGGATACTGACTTTCGTATTCACGGACCATAAGTAGTAGTTCCCTTTACATACCTCAGTACACGTTTCAATTGGCTCCAATGAGAGACCGTAGGAGCATGAATGTGTTGACAGAGTTGGTTGACTACAAAGGATAGATCTGGACGAGTAACCGTAAGATACTGTGAAGCTCCAGCCAAACTCCTCTACTATGTAGCATCATCATATAAATTGGCGTTAAAAGCAATGGTTTTCGAAGCAGATATAGGAGTAGTTAAGGGTTTATAGTCCGTCATGCCAGCACGTTTTGAGATATCAGTCATGTATCGTTGTTGAGAAAACAAAATTCCATCACCATATTTAACAGTTTCAATCCAAAGAAAAAAAATCAGGTGCACCAAGATCCCTAATCTTGAATGTAGAGGATAATGTTGTCAGTAAAGTACTGACAAGATTTTGATCATTGCCCATTACAAGAATATCATCAGCACACTAGAACATAAATGAAGCCTGAACCTTGCGAGTAGTAAAATAAAGATACATCTGTTTTCGAAGCTTTAAACCCTGCTGTCATAAGAAACACATGCAATCAATTAAACCAATCTCTAGGAGCTTGTTTTAATCCATATAGAGAACGTTTTAATAGGCAAACATAATTAGGGAACTTCTTATCAATATATCCAGGTGGTTGTTTCATATAAACGGTTTCATACAATTTCTCATTCAAAAAATCCTCTATTTAGTATGTACATAATTGTATAATAGAATATACATAACCTCCTAACATAATACACATAATCTTAACATAATACATAATACACATAAACTCTTAACATAATACACATGAACTATTAACATAATACACATAAACTCTTAACATAATACACATAAAATATTAACGTAATACACATAAACTCTTAGGGCACACAATGCATTGTGCACCCTGGTGCACGATATAATTTGCCTCTTCTTTCTTGCAGGATTAGAGTTTCTTGCTGGAGACTCCAATTCGCATGGAAAGAGAGTCTGGAGCTTTTATTCCTGGAGGTAAACATAATGTAACTTATAAAAACAATAATCAGGGAAGGAAAAAATAGCATGGTTAAGGGGTTTCGAACTCAAAAGCGTTGAGGGCAGAGAGCCGAAGACGCCTAGGGCAGAGAACCGGAACCAGAGAGGCTGCGAGACTGGGAGAGACGATGAGAGCATCGAGGCAGAGAGCAGAGACCCCGAGGAAGGAGAAGCTGGGGCTGCGAGACAGTGAGTGACGATGAGAGAAGTGAGAGGCTGATAGAGTGGCGATGGGTGTGGGCGGCTGAGAAGATCGGTAAAGATTATTATTTTACCTTTAATTTAGATTTAGATTAATAATTGTTTGGTAGTAATATGTGTTAATAAAATAGTCTGATAAAGTGCAGTGTGAGGTTTTGTTGTTGGAGGATCTAACGCTGATTTGAACAAATTCCTTAAAGAAACTTTGATTTCATTTTTGGCTAATCTGGATGGTGGAAAGCCGGTCAGCTTAGTGTCAAGTGAAGAACAAGGAGGCGGGAATGGTAGTATGGCACATGGGGAAGGCAGTTGCCAAACTTCCCCGGCCCCATTGATTTTTCTTATGGTACTACACAACATTTGCTTCAATGGCGCAGGTGAGATTATTATTTGTTTGGATGTCTGCCTCTATCTCCATTTTCAAACTTGAAGGGCGCAATCATGTTTGCCAATTCAATCACGGAAGATGAGAACCTGTAGAATTGTTTTTTCTTTTTTCTTTTTTTTTTTTAAAAAAAAAAATTTGAGGTGGTAGTATCTAGGGGTGTGCACGGATGGGTTTCAGACTGATCGGATAGTCGGGGGACTCATCCGAACGGATAGCGGATGTGTATTTTTAACCCCATTCCATTTTTTTTAAGAAATTCGCCGGATAAATGAGTTAATAAATCCAACCCGATATTCGACTGTCCGTCGGTTAAGTCGGATACATGTGAATATTTAATAAACAACAAAATTGATTTTTTTTTAAAAGAGCTTATTTGAGTACAAAGTCGAATTTTTTAAAAAAAAAACTTCAAATTTCTAATAGATATTAACTAAACTACTAAATAAGTACTAAGTACTAACATACAATCATACAATCATACATTCATACATCAAAACTCAAAAGCACTAAAGCAACATTTATTCAAAAATACAAAATACTGAAATACAAGTAAACCAAATGACCAAATTACAGCTTTAATGCTTAATTAGTAATTACAAAGCACAGTATTGAGTATTCCAGTGAAAATACAAAAGCACATCAAGACATGGCACAACTACAGTCTGCAAGATCCACAACCTATGCCCTAATATGCTATTTGCTAATCAACATACCAACTAATACTCTATTCCTCTTGAATAAAATTAAAAGGTAAGAAAGTAAGTAAACTTGAGAATTGTGAATATAGTAACAAAACATATAAGTTCAAACAGAAATGAATTATGAGTTATGACTTATGATTGGGACAACGGGTGCTCAGATTGCTTATTTATAAATCATGTTAGGGTTGGGGGCAAATTGCCTATGAGTTATGGATTGACCACTGTTCAGGGCAACATACCAAACCCAATCCCTAAATCCTAGATTTCAGAGAACATGGTGGAAGCATCATCATTGCACAATTAGTCTTTTACAAGCATCAAAGAGAGAATGAGGGATAGAGATTGAGAGATATACCAGACATCATTTAACTCATTGAGTGCTTGAGGCAAATTTATACCTACAGAGTTAATGTAATTTACAGCCATACTGAAACCTCAAACCTGGGGCAGTCCTTAGCCATTGAGGCAATAAACCTTCCAGCCAGGGAGGCATCAGGTTCCAAACTTCCAGAACCAGATCTAATGTTCCATTACTCACCAAACTTTCCAGACAAGCAGTCAAACAAATCTAAGAAAATTTAGAATGGAATAACTCAAATAAGTAAAATAACATTACATGTATTGTGGGTAGAGAACTAACTCTAGTATTAACTCCAATTCCTCCATTTCACAAATCTGCAAAAAACAATTACAGTTGTAAATGTAACAAATGTGAAACACCGAAACTGAAAAACTAATAGCAAAGTAAAGTTACAGTTTAGGAGTTTACCTTTTTCAAATTTCTCAACTTCATCTATGTTTTCTTCAACTTTGAGTGGTTGGTTGGTCAACCTTAGTCAATCTTGTGCACAAATCAATGCCTCGAAAATTTTTGGAGTAAGAGAACTCCTAAATGCATCAAGAACTCTCCCACTGTTACTAAATGTTGATTCTGATGCAACTGTTGAAATGGGAACATCAAGTGTATCCCTTGCCATTTTAGACAACACAGGGAATCTTCCACCATTTACCATCCACCATCTCAAGAGGTCAAAGTCACCATCCTCCTCTACAATTCCCTCACTCAAATACACTTCCAACTCTGTTTTCTTGGCAGCCAATTCACTAGACCCCAATCTTTGTTTTTTTAACTGAGATTTTAACAAAGCTTGGGGCCTCCCAACAGAAATAGGATCACCAACAGAAACAGAAGGAGCAGAATGTTGAACAGAAACAGGATCACCAACAGAAACACAAGGATCAGACTGGACAGGGAAACTTGCAACATAATTAGCATACAATTCCTTAAGGCCATTCATCACATTCTCAAACAAGAGCTTACCAACCACATCACCATATAATTGATTAAACTGATATGACATGTACTCAGTCATGTTCCTAGGGTCCAATATATTTCCATAAAAGATCAAAAAGTTCATCTTGGAAGGATCACCCCAGTATTTATCAAACTTAGCCTTCATATTCTTTCTCATAAGATTAACAGATTCAGATTCAGCTCCCACCAGATCTTTTAATATGCAAGATAAATCAGAAACTTCAGAGAAGAATGTATTTGAAGTTTCATACAAAGACCCTCATATCCTAACAGTCATTTCATAAAATGATTTAAGAAATTTCACCAATCCCTTTACAGTTTCCCAATCCTTTTCATCAGGTATATTCACTTTCCCACCCAAGTAAATGAAGAGTCATGATCTTCATATGCTTCAAACACTTTCTCATAGAGCAAAGCAGCATGCAACATCATATAGCACTACACCAAACCAGGCATTTAGCGACGTTTTTTTTTTTTTTTTTTTTTTTTTTTTTGCGTTTAGCGACGGTTTCAAACCGCCACTAGTATGTTTAGCGGCAGTTATTCAACCGTGTCTAAATAGTGTGTCGCGAAGCATTTAGCGGCGATTTTCAACAACCGCGGGAATTAATGGAAAACTCATTTAGCGGCGGTTTTGGGTGCATTTAACGGCGGTTACAAAACCGCCGCTAAATATATATATATATATATATATATATATATAGCGGCGATTACAAAACCGCCGCTAAATTTATTCAAATATATATATATATATATATATATATATATATATATATATATATATATATATATATATATATATATTATTTTTGAATAAATTTTAGTGGCAGTTAGTAAGTGTTGCTAAATATTTTTCTTGATTTATTTTTTAAAATATTAGAGGCGGTTATTAAGTGTCACTAAATAATTTTTTGTTTTCATAATTAAGTGTCGTTAAATGTTTTATAATTACATTATTATATTTTTATAATTATTATTTAATTATATTTCTTCAAAAATCTTTATATTCAAATGCGTATTGCAATCACAAATAAACTCTATGTACCCATTTAATTGAAAAAAATCAATTGTAACTAATATTTATCAAATAATAATATTCAAAGAAGTAGCTTCCTCAGCTTAACATTTCTTCCATGGTCTTTAACTGTAATGCATTTTCATTCCCTGACAGTTCAAAACATCATTCTTCAAATGCAGATACAGGCAGCCTTTGGTGGATAGACCAACATAATCTACAATCTCAGTCCTTGACATCTTTAAAACCTCTGGTCATATTTATGAAGTTCTGCATTCACTTTCTCCTCATCCCACATAAACCCTTGAATGTATGTTCTACAAGGAAGATTAAACATATTCAATAATTTAGGATCTTTAATCCATTAGTAAGTTGTGTAAGAAGTTTGCTGGTGAAAGCAACAGAGGTAATCACCTGAACCCACTCAAAATAGCTGATAGTAACTCCACCTGAGTTTGCATAGATGTCTGGTAAAATCACAACTCCTTTCTTTGCTAAAATCTGTGGAATACATTACACTTATCTTCATTTATCAATGGGTTTGAAATTCTTATTACACCTTGATCCTACACTACCCAAACACAAAACCAATGATATAACAATGGTGAAAACTTAACAGCAAGATTTTTTTTAGCTACGATTAAGATCATCTTTGTTAGAATATACATTTATTTTAGCTGAGTTTTAGGGGCGGTTAAAAGAACTGCCAATAAAATATACATTAAATTAAAAATAAATTAACATTTCTTAAGTTTAAGTACAAAATTAGTGGCGGTTTCTATAACCGCCTCAAAATAGTTATTTAGAGGCGGTTATAAATAATCGCCGCTAACTATATGTCACTAAAAAGCTGATCTGTTGTAGTGTAGGTTGAGTTCCACCTAGTAGGAACATCAAGAACCAAAGAGTTTTTTGCTTCCACCCCAATTAAGTCAACAAGGTCTCTAAATTTTTGGAGCCTAGAATGAGAGTTTCTCATATACCTCACACAGTCCTCAAATTAACCCTCTCATCAGAATAAATCTTCAGAATATCCCTATTCACAGTCCATCTTGAGGGAATTTTGAACCTAGGACAACACACAAGAACAAACTTCCTAAAACCTTGACCCTCAACAAACCTAAAGGGTAGCTCATCAAAAATAAGCACGCACACACGCACACGCACACGCACACGCACACACACACGCACACACACATGCACACGCGCACCGCATGCGCACGCGCACACGCACACGCACACGCACACGCACGCGCACGCGCACACGCACACGCACACATATATACAATTATGATAACTAATCAACATATTTATTTCATTAAAAAAATTATAAATGATTAAAGCTTACATATAATAAAACTTTACACATAAAATTTATCTAGTATCATAAAATAACTTCAATATTTATAATCTTTAGTTTGTGCAACGCACGGGTGGCATACTAGTAATTACGATTAATTTGAAGATAATTATTATTATTTATAATTATTACAATTAATTTGAAGATAACACACACACACACACACTTAAGGTATATAACTAGAGAACAAAATAAATTATCATTTCTGTTCTTTCGTGTAATCAATATATATATATATATATATATATATATATATATATATATATATATATAGATAGAGAGAGAGAGAGAGAGAGAGAGAGAGAGAGAGAGAGAGTTGAGTTCAAATTAGAACCACTATATCATAGAGGATTGTGCGGATTGGTGTAGTCGTGCGCCATTAGGCTGTATGTCGTGTGCATGGCCTAATATAGTCGTGTGCCAGGGTTGAGTTCACATGAGCACTACAATATATAGAGGACTGTGCAGACTGATTACGGGTACACAACAAATTAGTATCATGCACACAATTTAATACACAATGGCACACAAGAATACATGTAAATATCAGGTTTCGAACACAGGCTCTATTAATTAAGAAACCTATGCACACGACATAGAAACTGTGACACACGACTACATTAGGCCAGGCACACGACATACAAACTAATGGCACACGACTACACCAGTCTGCACAGTCATCTATAATATAGTGGTCATCATTTGAACTCATCTCTCTCTCTCTCTCTCTCTCTCTCTCTCTCTATATATATATATATATATATATATATATATATATATATATATATATATATATATATATATATATATATATATATATATATATATGAAAACAAAATAAATTATCATTCTCATTCTTTCATGTAATTACTCATGTTTAATTGTAACAAGTCGATCGCCTCACTTCACTTTGGATGTTTTACTGCCTGAGTGTAACAAGTAGGATCTAGGGGATAAACCTGAGCACTTAAAGTTGTGGGTGGTGCCTGAGATCTACTGCGAGCCTCCATAGTGTGTGTCCAAGTGGTAGATTTTACTATCATTCCTCGCGGACGCCCCCTAGGTTGAGCGGCGACAGTAGCCGATGCGTCAATCTACTGCCCAGTAGTACCTGCAGGCAGGTCTGGCGGGAGGGGAGCCGATGCGTCAATCTACTGCCCAGTAGTACCTGCAGGCAGGTCTGGCGGGAGTTCCCCTCCCGCCAGTTCCTTTTGCGGAAGCACCGACAAACTATGTTGTAGGATGGATTCTACCTATGGAGTAATTTGAGGAGCCCGTGGCAGCTGCAAAATATTCTAGTAGCAAAGGGAAAAATAACCTCATCAAACCGCACATGTCTGCACACATAAACCTTATTAGTCTGTAAGTCAATGCACCTATAACCCCAGAATGACACTGGATAACCTAGAAAGACACATAGAGAAGACATGTAGGACATTTTATGACGATTATATAGCCATAAATAGAGATAACATAGACACCCGAAGACACGAAGAAAAGAGTATGATGGAGGGGATTTATGGCATCCTGTTAATTAAATACACAGTAGTCTAAAAAGCAAAATCCCAGAATTTATATGGAACATAGGTACGAGCCATAAGGGTTTGACCCGTTTCAACTATGTCTCCATGTTTTCTTTCGACATGACCATTTTGTTCATGAGTGTAGGCACAAGGCTGTCTATGAGTGATTCCTAACTAAACAAAGGAATGGTGTAATTTTTTGTATTAAGCTCCTAGGTCAGATTGAATGGATTTAATTTTTCTATTGAAGGAACGCTCAACCATAGTACATAAATTTTCAAAGATGACATAAAGATCAGAGTTTAGTTTCATGGGATAATACTAAGTGTAACAGGAGTGATCATCCACGAAATTAACAAAGTAACGATAACCATCAGTGGATAACAAAGGAGCTGGACCACGAATATTTGTGTATATTAAATTATGAATATTGGAACTAGATGACTCAACACGTGGCAGTGGGAATCGGGCAGATTTCCCTAACTGACACGCATTACATAGACCCAATTACAACAAATAGAATTACTAGACCTACTAACCGAACAAGCAAGACTGAAGAATACGATGTAAGACTCGAGGAAGTGGATGTCTTAAGCGATCATGCCACACTGACTTGGATGCGCGTGCGGAAAGAAAATATGAAGTAGACGAACTAGTGATAGGAAGCTTGTATAGACCCTAGAGCTATTGCCCCGTAGTAGAATTTCCTTGGAATTAGATATCCTTCACAACAAGAAAAGAGTGGTTAAACTCAAAAAACACCTTATTCTCTTAAGCAAATTTTTGAACAAATAATAAAGATGTAGACAAACTGGGAACATGAAGGATATTTGATAATTGAAAAGATGTAGATGGGCTATTAAAGGAAGCATGACAAATATGACTAATAGATAAACCATTACCATCACCAACACGCAACGTGTCATTACCAACATACTCCTCACATGTGGATAGAGCTGCGATGTCTAGGGTCACATGATTGGTTGCTCCCGTGTCTGGAATCCATACCTAAGAACCACTAGCGTCTAAACCATTATCTTGATATGTCAGATTGGCTTGAGGCGGAGGATATCTTTGATTATTAAAACAGTTGTAACATGCAAGATCCGTGTTACCATTGCGCCCACACTGACGTCCAATGGCGAGGTGCATGACTTCTTCAGAGAGTGATGAAATTAGCATTGACATCAATGCTTTGTCGTGGCGATACCACACGGCATGTGCCGGGTTTGGTTGTGGTTTGCTATTAGCGACAACCGACAAGAAGGCCGGTGGGCATGGGTTAGTCCCATCAATAAACCCTATGAGCCCGTGTCCCTCTAAAAAGGGAACTACTTGTATCCTCCAAAATAAGAAATTTTTATGGGTAAGCTTAATACTGATAAAGTGATGGGCAGTAGAAAGCGAATTGACAGCCATAGAACAGGAGGATGTAACGGCAACATCAGAAACGGTCCGCTCATAGGAGTTAGCAGATCCGTCAATATTACTTCCCTGGGGTTCCATTGAGAGAAAATAGGAAAGGAACCTGAGACTACTGATACCAAATGAGAACGGTATAAACTGTATTAGATGAACAGTAATTACAACTGTACAGATTGAGGGAATATATATACAAGAGAGAATCATAGGAAGACTAGGATAGGGAGTCATAATATGACTCAAATACAAAGAGTCCTAATACTAGTCCTAATAATGAGGAACCACATTAACAAAATGTTGGAGCAGGAAAAGGTGAGGTAAGAATTTGCTATGACTGTTGCTTGTATTATTATTATTATTATTATTATTATTATTATTATTATTATTATTATTATTATTATTATTATTATTATTATTATTATTATTATTATTATTATTATTATTATTATTATTATTATTATTATTATTATTATTGTTATTGTTATTGTTATTGTTATTGTTATTGTTATTGTTATTGTTATTGTTATTGTTATTGTTATTGTTATTGTTATTGTTATTGTTACTGTTACTGTTATTGTTACTGTTATTGTTACTGTTATTGTTATTGTTATTGTTATTGTTATTGTTGTTGTTGTTGTTGTTGTTATTGTTATTGTTATTGTTATTGTTATTGTTCTTGTTATTATTGTTGTTGTTGTTGTTGTTGTTGTTATTGTTATTGTTATTGTTATTGTTATTGTTATTATTATTGCTATTGCTATTGCTATTGTTATTGTTATTGTTATTGTTATTGTTATTGTTATTGTTATTGTTATTGTTATTGTTATTGTTATTGTTATTGTTATTATTATTATTATTATTATTATTATTATTATTATTATTATTATTATTATTATTATTATTATTATTATGCCAAGCACTATTTTTGGTATGTCATATTTTGATTATGTTATCTATCTTTGAATGTTTGAAGGTTTGATTTTTGGACAATTAGTTTTGAGTGTATTTCGCATGAGAAATAATCATATAAGGGAGAAGAAAAATTTGAATAGAATTAGTATTTTCCAAAAGACTAAGCCAAATGACTTGGGTATAGGTTTTGACATCATTAAAAAAGGGGGAAATTGTTAGGAATATTGTAAGATTTTGATGAGCCAAAATATTTTTTTAAAAAATAGAATTCCCAAGTTTCTTTTATTTGAGTCGGCTTTGGCCCGTGTATACAAACAAAAATTGTACAGGAAATTCAAGCAAACTCAACAAGTCTTGAAGAATTATTTTACTCTGGAAGATTTAAGCGGGAAGTGAGCCTAAATTATTTTGAAGTACAAGGAGCTACAAAGGCCGAGCTATCATAGATAGAAGATGACTAATTGGAGTACATATCAAGTGATCTATTGTTTGAATCCTACTTGTTGCATTTTTTTGGAGATACGCACATGGCAAGAATAGACATGAAATGCACGGAATAGACACTAACGAGATAGACCTGAAAAGTGAGACTAGACACAAAATTGAAAGTAGATAAGAAATCGGACT